TGAACAATACACAGATTCTTTCAGAATATGGATTAAGTATCAGCCATCCCATAGTGCAAGGCTCATTGTCTTTGACATGGTAGGTGCTCAAGAAAATTGTTGAATGAATGAGCAAATAAATAATGAATGATCATGTCATATGAAGTCTCTTATGTTTATGCCCTATCAATGTCTGAATTAACCTCCACATTAATGTCAGGTTCCATTGTCATCTTTAGTTATGAATTAAAGGCAAAATGAAATCCTTTTTTCTAGTTGATTACTTATGCTAGGCTTCTCCCTTATACAAAGCAGAGTTCTGCTGAGAATCTGAGCTTCATCTACGTTTTTAAAAATAGTCTCTTACCTTTTTATTTTAAACTTTGTTGACATAATTTTAGAATCGCATGCAGTTATAAGAAATGTAACAGATGGGCCAGGCACAGTCAGAGGCCGAGGTGGGAGGATTCCTTGAGGCCAGGAGTTTGAGACCAGCCTGGGCAACAGCAAGACCCTGTCTCTACAAAAAAATTAGCTGGGTGCAGTGGCACACACCTGTGGTCCCAGCTACTCAGAAGACTGAGGCAGGAGGATCATTTGAACCGGCAAGTTCAAAGTTGCAGTGAGTTATGATCACACCATTGCACTTCTGCCTGGACTACAAAGCGAGATCCAGTCTCTGAAAAATAAATAGTACAGGGAGATCCTGTGTACCCTTCACCCAGTTTCCCCCAACAGTACCCTAAGTTATAGTTTAGTATCACAACCAGGAAACTGACATTGTTACAAGATACAAACCACTGACCTTATTCAGATTTTACCAGTTTTACATGTACTTGTGGGGGGGGATGTGGAGTGGCATAAATATTAATGACACGGTTCCTTTTAAAGCCAAGCAACATCATGGTTTCAAAAAAGGATATCTCTTTAAAATAATGATATCCCATTTAAGTCATTTCAAAAGCATTTTTTCATTTATATGTTCTGTATTTGGAATATCCAACTTATCTGCCTACTCTCAAGGTCACAAAATATACTTATTGGCAAACATACTCTGCAAGTGAACTAGCAGCAGCTGAGGTTGGTATTGGACCTCCATCTGCCTCCTTCCCTCCTCCACCTCTTTGAGTGTGCAGGTACACACACACACACATACACACACGCACACACTCAGATTTTCTGCTGCTTGCCTTTTTTTATGCCTGAGTACCTTGCTGACAAGTGCTAATAACAAAATACCCAGAGAGAGTCCAGTTGAAGTTAGCATACATTAAACATTCTGAACTTGTCCTTTTGCTCATAGATTGTGCATAATTAATAATTAAACAGTTTCAGTTGTAATGGGTTGACCTTCTTGAACTGTTCATTATTCACAAGGCAAAGGCATCACTCAAACTTTTTCCCATTGTCCTTCGCTGTTCTCTAGCATGCTGCGTGCTTGTGTTCCAGTTGTTTAGCAAAAGGGGCTGACCAGGTAGTTACTGAAACCTCTGAGGCTTGGAGACTGTCCTCCTTGATGACCAAAATTGCTTACTGAAATGGTTTATGGCAGCTGTTTTTATATAACAGTTGCCTGCTCGATAACGGGATCCAGCTTGTATCCCTTTGGCAGGACTCTAAAGTTGATTTGGGATTAGAATCTCAGGTTAAGGCTTTTGGTTAAGGTTGTGCCCGCTGTTTTGTTCCATACCTTCGTGCTTAGAAGTTCAACAGAAAAGCATCCCAAAATAAACCCTTAAGATGAAGTATGGCACCCAAGGTCTTAAAGAAAGTGACTTTTATTAATAATTTAGGGTTGATTTCAGCCAGTATCAAGAGTTGTTAGTGAAACTGCTTCTTCAATTTGCATTTATAGTTTTGGAATGTATTTCTCCATCTTGCCAGCACCCATATTTCACAGAGGACATTTTTGATAAGTAGCAGCAACTGTTTTACTAGAGCGTCTGAGCCCTGTGGGACGGTTCTCAGTCCCCCTCTCACCTCACAGTGTCTGGATGCTTTCCCTTCCTGTGAGCTGCAGTGAAACTGGAGTGCAAATTTGCTATGCACTTCCCTCCCTCCTTCCCACAGATTTGAATTAGGTAACAAAATAGGCAGATTCTTGGAGGCCTTTCACATCCTGATCAAAACCAACTTCTAATTTTATTTGCTTTAAAAAGTGTACTTTAAAATCTTTCCACACAGTGAACATCCTTAGGTATATTCATTTGCTTTCCTTTGGGGTGTTAACAGCCTGTGGTGGAGTTGGAGGCTCTCAGAGGCCTCCTTGGCCCAGGGTTTACATGTAGCATTCTGGCTAACCCCCTTCTAGTCAGTCTACTGCATCTCAGAAAATTCTCCCTTGAGGTATGCAAGAGACATGGATTTTAAAATGAAAATAAATATCTGGCATTATGCATGTGAGATTACAATTTCCCCCCGCATCTTTGATGAGTGATTCTTCTTTGCGGGCACCACTGAGATGAGAATCCACTCTCTGTGGTTCTGCAAAGTCGACTTGGGCTGGCATGTTCAGAAGTGAAATAAATTATTCATGGGTACCACCCAGTGTTCCTTAGTTTTATAATATGAGGAACTTAACAGGCTACAATATCAGGTCTTAAATAAAATTAACTACCCATGCAAGATGTCACATTTCCTCGTTTTCTCATCCGTGTTAAAATGACATCTTCATCAAGTTGCCTAGTCTATAATTCATTAATTTACTCTTGGTATCATACTTTGAAATGAAGCCCACATTAGCATCATGTTTTATAACAGATCTTTGTAGAAAGCCAGTCCAGAATTTTAACTATCTTGGTAAACATTCAGCCACATTAAGACAGCAGGCTTTTGTTTTCCTAAATATTGCATTTTAAAGCGAATACTACTCAGATGCTTTCAGTTATACCCTCCAAAAAAAAAAAAAAATCCATAAAGGAATGACTTAGAGAAGCTTCCTCACTGATCAGAGTCTATAATTCTTGCACCTCAGACTTTGAACTATCTTTTTACTAATGATTTTTGAGACAGTAAAATGTCATTTCTTGAACTGGGACTTGTAGAATCTTGCCAGCTTGGTGATATATATGGCTTTCCTAAAACAAGCTGGGGCTGAAATTGATATCGTGTTTTATTTTTGCTCTTCAAACCTATGGGACTTCTGTGACCATTTTATAGTACCTTTATTGAGGACTTGTCATGTTATTTTGTGTCTTGTTTCTTTTGAGTGGACTGTTTCGTCAGCCTCCCCCCACTCCCTCCCCATTTTTCACGTTCTCTCTATGTAATGCCTCCATGTAATCCTTTGAACTTGGCAAGATTTTATTTCACTCCCATTTTCCTTTGTTTTCCTTTGCTCTTGGAAGTCTTTCTCTACTGATGAGAATCTTAAGTTTAGAATTACTAATCTTTCCCTCCTGGATGAATAGAGTAAATTCAAAGAAGACAGATATGCAAAAACCAAGAAACATTTTGTTCATATTCCTTTCCTTTTAACATCCTCAGGATTTTTTTTTCACTCCTTTGACCCTCTTAGTTTCTTTTGATTTAATTGTATTTTCCAGCAGTTTCCAATTGTTTGAATTGGAAACAAAGCCTTAATAAGAGTTCTAGTTAATTTTCTGTCTTGTAATTACCGATCTCATTTTTCTGATAATTGGCCACAGCAATTATATGTATATTTACTAATCACATAGGAGGCTGTGCAATTGTATCTATCTGCCACCATTGATAATGACACGCATATTGCAGAGGTGCTTTTATCATCTTCTTTTTTCCACTACATCAAAGCTATTTCCTCTCGTTCTCAATAATGAATACATGCATGCATTTGACACAGTTGTGTGCTAGAGAAATTGTTTGGCTCCCACCAAATGCTGCATGCTCTGAGTTTCTTGCCTGCAGCGCTGGAAGGTTGTATGTAATGATATATTGCTCATCCAAATGGCCAAAGCACTCCAAAGCACAGTGAGATTAAAATAAGTCATTCCTTTGTTAATTTAAATAGGTGCATGTATCATACTTTGCAGGGCACTTTGTGTAGGGATGTCAGGGAGGAAAAAAGCCGCCGAAAGGTATTTTTAATAGCAAATGAGAATAGATGAGAATGGAGTCATTTGCAGCTGCCTACTTTATGTGGCTCTCTTGTTCCAACTGTAGGTCTAATGAGATGACTGTTAAAGTACTCTGCAGTGTAATTTCATTACATCCTGAGCTGTTACACTATAAACACAGTGGCGCTCTGTCATTCTTGGAAAAACTCCTAAATTCTTAAAGCCTTCCTTTGCAAACGGTAATGGGGTTTGCTCCCTGTGTTATGTGGTGGTGGTTGCTTGTTGCTGTGTAGTTTTCTGCTCTTTTGAGTGACTCCCACCTCAACCCCAGTTTTGTTTGGTAGTCGAGTTGGGAGTTTTTCATTGTGTCCTTAATTACTGGCTTTCTCATACAAGGAGTTTGCCTAGACTGGCAAATAAGCTGAAATTCCTTTTCAGGAAACAACTTCCCCTATAAAAAGCCTTTCTATTAATATTAAAGTAAAAAAAGAAAAAAATATCTGACCCAAATGATTCCATTAGGAGCAAGCAGTTTGGAGCAGTTGAATATACAAATAAATGTAAATAAAAAGGAAAGTGTAAATAAATAGCAAATCCAGTAAAAGAAACAAAGGTCAACACAAGAATAATTTCACAGCTCTTTGTTAATTACAAGACCATTTGTGTGTTACTTAAATAATCATTAATTTCTCATTTACACTTTCCCTACCTTCTTTCCTACCCTGTGGCTATCATTGTCCTTTTTTCACCTCCCCTCCCTCTCTGCTCTCATGTTTGTCACCATTGTGAAACGTGTGTGGCTTTAAATTTGGCATTTTTACCTAACTGTGTGGAAGAGGTAGAGACAGTCTTTTTAATTGGATGAGGCCTTATTTTCATTATATTCATCTTTATACTGCTTCTTTGTGGGGGTGGGGTGAGGGTGGAATATAAAGAAAGAGAAGGAACTGTTGAGACTTTTGGTGACTTGTTTTTCCTCCATCCCAGGATTCGCCCGTCCTTCCGGTTGGAGAGTTCTCCGAGCCATTTGTACATTTCATCACTCAGTGGTGAGCCCGTTTGCAAACATGCCATGCCCTCAATGTAAATGACACATGCCATTAACTCCGCGGCTCCGTGAGACCTTATGGCTCTCCCTGCTTCCTTTTGGAGACGGGAGGGACTTCAGGGCCTTGGGCAGATGGGGCAGCAAAGCTGAAGAAATTGTTTAAATTATGTAAACGTTATTTACACAAAGGGTCATAAACGTACTTCAGAGGCTTTTTCTTTTTTTAATAAACTGCTGAGAGTCAGGGAGGCTACTTCTTTGAGCACAGATACTGTTGCCATCCTTTTTTTTTCTTTAAGAAATACACAATTTTATAGTCCCTATTGAACAGACATATGAAGTTTATTTTTATTAATGTAACCTCAAGTTACCCATAAAACTGTCTGTCACTTAGTAGAAGCAGCATAGTTTATTAATTCATTAGATCTTCAGTAAATAACTTTAATCTTTGGTTATATTTTAAACATAATACTGGGGTCCCATTTCAGTGAATTTTGATGTTTGAAAGGCTGTGAAAACATAGTCCCATTAGGCCCACTGGTTAACCCTTAAAAAATTGAGAGGAACCACTGGGCCTCTTAGAGTCTCTAGGCAACTCCTAATCATTTTATACCTAAGAAAAAAGCATTTTGCTGCCAAGATTCTTTCCTGTCCTTCTGCCTTTTTCCTCCCAGCAGAACGAGTCTTTCTTTTATTATCCGTTTCACCACCATCCCCCACATCCCCTGTCCTGCAGGACTCACGTGGCCTTGGGAGGCCCACTTGCTCCCCTGCCCTCTCCATCACCCCAGCATGGAGAATTACCCAGGAGAGAGGAGGAAATTGGGAGCATAGGACAGGAATAACTGTCCGCAAAGCAGGAGACAGACCCAAGCAGAACTCCTTCATAACTGCTTTGCCCCTCTTTGCCTCCTTCAAAGTCCTCATTTCTTCACCCCTTCAGAGTCATGTCCCCTACTGGTGGAAAATGAATGGGCAGATCCTGCCCAAAGAAACCCTTGGTTCCCGCGGTGCAGAGCAGTGGTGCAAGCAGGAGTTCTTGCTAAACCAAGATGGTTGAACGCTGTTCCTTCCCCTCCCCCATGATCCATCTGATGATTACACAGAAGTGAGACCAAGAAATATTCCTTAATATAAATGTCAAGCTTTATCACCTTTTTGACTAAGTGTGATGTGTTACCTCTTAATAAAAAATGTCTCATACAGTTTATATTCCATAGAACAAATATGTGGGGAAGAAATTTTTCCCCAGATTTTTAAAATTTTATTAACACTTTCTTTTATTTAAAATGCTAATATAATATTCTGTAGCTTTTAAAAACTATTTTTACTCTGAAAACATTGTATTTCCAAAGCATGCCATGTTGGAAGAAAGCGTTCATACTGATTTAACACTGGAATCCTGACCTGTTTTGAAGCTCATTGATGATGTTAGAACCGTTATCCAGAAATATATATTAATGGGTCCTCATTTCCTTTACACGGAATTCCTAAAAACACCTGAAAGCATATAATGGTAATGCCTCATTTTGAGTGCAAAAATTATAAAACAGACCGTGTGATTCTTGTGCTGCCTGGAGCGGCTGGTTTGAGCATCGCCCACTCCAGAGCTGTTAGATTTGTGCCTGGATCACAGCCCTTACCTCGCTGTGTGGTCTGAAACCAACCTGGGGGTGGGGCTGGGCTGGGGAGCAGGGAGAAAAGTGGGTAAGGCTCTACCTCCCTCTTGTCCAAAAAATTAATCAGCTGTTATTTAAAAGTTTTATGGAGACAGAGGGAGGGATAACCTGTGTTGAAATTTCCACAGATGTCAAGCCGAAACAGAAATGATAGTGGGTAATAGCCTTGTTTTCCCAAGAGATACAGCTACTTTGGAATGTCAGATTAGGACTGTTACCAACTCCACTGGCGAGACAGCTTGAATTACTTGCTAATGGATGCAGTATTTGAGAGGTGCATATGGTTATTTATAGGGAAGGCAAATGTCCTCGATGTCATTAATGGTTCATAACTACGGTTCTTGTTTACCAAATGATCATTAAATCTCTCTATTTAAAAAAAAAAGAAAGTACTGTCAGCAAATGCAGAGATTATATGAAGGGTTTTCTTCTTGCTTGTTAGAGGATGCCTTATATAAAGAACAGGCATCTGTGTGATTTTCTAAATGATAGAAGCAGCAATCCCTTTTCATGACTTCATCCCGCAGACACTCTTGAGTAGGCAGCTACCCACAGTCACCTCGGTCCCACGTGTGAGTGCTTCATCACATAGTTCAGTACAAGCTACAGCTACTAATTATACCTATTGCATGGAAGATAGGAAATATTTAGCGTGAGGAATGTGATTCTTTAAGCAGCTTAAACAAATTTAGCTATCCTACAGCTGTTTAATGAATTATCAACTTGCATGGTAGCCAAAATAAATGCAAGTTGAGATAATGTTCTATAACTCATTTGTAATTCTGTGGCGTCATCTAGATTCCTAACCTCTTTTACATACTACTTGTCATTCAGAGTGTTAGTGAAGGAATGAGATGTATTCTCATTTGACTTGATAGTCATGTTTCTTTTCTTACTGTCTTATCCCAATTACTGAAAAAGTATATTATTCCCTAAATTTAAGTTTGAAATAAATTGAAAAGAGTCAGAAAGAGAATATTGCTGCTTTTTTTCACATTAATTTCAAAAGCAAAATTAGAATAAATTTAAATTCATTCTTCATCTGTACTACAAAAGTAAAAAAGTTTTTAAAAAGTAATTTTTAAAAACACTTTGTATTTCTGATTCATAAGGTCCCCAGAAATCTGATTAAGTAGGCCAAAATAAAAGAAAGGGAATATATGCTAATACTTTGGCCAAGAATTGAACATGATGAATTTTGAAAACATTCAAATTCCAGGAGAAATAGTCAATGGTGGGAATTATAGCACAAATTTACAAGTGGTATAGATAATATGAGGTTTTTTTTTCCCCTACCACAGCATGGGAAAACAGCCAAAAGAAAGGCCAGCACCTGAGGAACTGATGGTAAGTAAATTTTTTTAGTTACATTAGAGTTCTTCAGTTACATATTTATGTTTAACATGTTTTTAAAAGGATGGGAGTAAATTTAAAACAGCCACAGGCACTGGAAAAGCAACATTACATATTTTATTTGAGGAGGTGTTTTTGAAGGTCATACCCTCAGATAGTACTTTTCACTTCTTAAAAACCCACTACTTCTTTGAAATTTAATGCAGAACTCTTTTCATCTGCCTTACTCAAGGGTTACAAACTTAACGCAGTTATTCTTTCTCCTTATTTGCTGTTACAGCCTTTCGGAATTCAGAGGATTTCTAACAGAAAAGATAGTGCATTCAGTTTTTAGTGTAGTCCTACAGGAAATTTCTGAATGTGGCATGGACTCCTCTTAGATTCACACAGAATGAAATTAAACTGGCTGCAAAAGATCAAGTTAATGTGAATCTTTGGTCTCTCCTCAGAAAGAGACAACTATAAGGCTGCTAGTGCTGTGTTCTCAGCTCCAAGGCAGCTTTCTTTGATTGCAAATGACAGTTTTTAGTCAAGCAGAGAGAGGAACAGAGATGCTCCCTAACAATTCCCAAATGGTCATTTATTTAGTGCAGATTGTTGATTTGACAATGCACAAGCTGTTAGAATAATGTTAGGATCGAGCATTAGTAAGTAATAATTATAGTCTCTTCTTTCTAATGTTTTGCATACCATTCCCTGTGTTTAGATTACTGCAGTCAAAACCAAGTCCTACCAATTTTCTTTCACCTCTTTAAATAACATACATTTTACAGGTATCAGTTCAGAGGTTTTCATCCATTGTATTCCAACCTGTTAAACACTTTAAGCACCCAAACTTGTACATAATACAGATTTCATCCCCAAATATAAAATAACAGCATGTTTCCTTTTTGTATCATGAATGCTTTTCAGGAAGGTACTTTTCTCTTTCCTGTTCCCCTGGAGCAAAATCTCTGTTTTCTGGATAGTTTCAAGTTAAAGTTCACACCTAAAACCACTGCAATTTATAACCGTACAGGTTTCGTGTCTAGAATAAACTGGTCTTTTTTTTTTGGTCTCCTTGATGGTTGGGAAATTCTTGCAGTTAGTCACATTTGAGAAAACTTGGAACAGGTTCTAGAGATGGAGACCCATTTACCTTGTGCATTATTATGCTATGGCTGGATAGCTCAGCTATTAAAACAAAGGAATAGGGTTTCATAAAACAGATATTTGTTTGTAAATGCATGTTTCAATGCTGCAATGAGTTGGCCACTTATAAATAAAACATCTGCAGATTGTACGTACACCCATAAATGTATATGGATGTGTGTGTTGGTAAGGAATACCACTCCAGGGTGGCAAGTCATAAAGACAAGGCTAAAGGGTGAGTACTTTCAATGCTTTAGAAGCAAGTAGATGTGAATGTCTGTGTGTGCATGTATGTGAGAGAGAGAAAGAGAAAGGGATATATATTTAGATATATCTCTTCACAACTCTATACCCTGGCGTGTGCTGTCCCACGTTTTTAATTAATAAATATCAATAAATCAGTGAAATACAATGAAAAATGTAGTCACAGGAAGCACCATCCTATACTTAATTTAACATTATTTCTAGTACTGCTTACTGTTTGATTTTAAATGAGTTTATTCCCAGAGGTATAGCACTAGTGAGGCACCACTGGTTTGGTAAGGGCTCAGTGAGGAGGCAGGAAACAATAGAATGTGGGTGAAGCCGCTGTGGTCAGGGGATTGAGCCCTGCCTGCCTTTGGCCAAAAGGTTGGGCCCAGTAGAGGATGGGAAAGAATGTGGGTTTTCCCTTGTCTTAAGGAACCTGAGTGACATCCTAGGGACCAATCTTAAAGAACCATTCTCTTTATTCCTTCCAGCATATTAATGGCTTTAATTTTTCCTTTTCCCTCTCCGCCTACAACCTATTTGATGGTGCTCCCATCTGGAAGGCGAGAGCGTCCTCTAGAATGCATGAACAGTAGAGCCCATTTGTCACTGTGGGTGGGGGCCTATGCCTTTCATGAAAAGAGCAGTTTATCTCCCAAGCACAGTAACTCCAGCCAGCAGGGTACCAACGTGGGCTGCATAGCTTGGGCTGCACAGCTTGGGCCGCATCAGATCCGAGGCCTGCAGGATTGTCAAGGTTTCCCTGTGGGCCCGCATTTTCCAAATCACAGGAAGAAAATCAGAAGTGGAGTCAGGTGGAAATACTGAAAGTTATAGACTCACCATTTGGGAAATCTTCCATGAACTCTATGTGTGACCTTCACTGGTGAACACAGCAAGTCCCAGCCGAAGTAAATCAGAATGTGGGACAAATGGGCCATATCATCCTTACTCCTGGGCCTTGGCCATGCACATAGTGGGCACTCAAGTGGTTTTTGTCTTTTTATTCCATAAGGTCACTGTATATATGAGAATACCTGATATCAAACCTTGAGATCATCACTGGCAGTTTTTGACCATGTCAATCTTAAAGATGAAATATAAAACTCAAGGTTAAACTCTTGCGACCATTAAAATCCCAGTGTTGGAACTCATGTAGTTCTTTAGCTATTTTATTCCCTCTACTTATTGGCTGTTCTTAAGATGGTTGTCAGTTTTTGTATCCTAAGCAGAAGTATTTTAAAAGTTGGACCAAGAAATTCCTTTAATGCTCACATTTTGGAGAGGCCAGGGTCTGTATGAGCTGCTCCAGTTTTCTGGAATGTAGCCATTATGCTACACAGAAAATCCACTCAAAAGTTTATCATCAGCATCCACATCATCTTAAGAGATCTCAGAACCATGTAAACAACTGAATTCAACGGATAGTTATAGACCACTATAGATCAAAGTCCTGTGCTAGACTCAGTAGAAGACATAAGGAAGAGTAAGCCACATGTATATAGTCTTGTAGGGCATATGGCAAGTATACAAATAATTAGAATGAAGTAACTATTGTAAAAAGGACTGCAGAGTTCTGTGGAGATCCCCTCGACATTGACTTGGTGGAGTTCAAATGAAGACAACATATTCACCACCAGCTGCACAGTCTCTTAACTGGCTTCTATAGAAGGAATCCTAGTGTCTATAGAAGGAATCCTAGTGTCCAGGTCTGAAAACTTTGACTCTACATAGAAGCAGCACATCCACCCACATGGGTTTTTTTTTTTCTCCCATTCAAGTATAGGGAAGTCCCTCATCCTTGGGGAAGGTGTTGCATAAATCAGAAGTCACCTTTAAACCCAACAAAAATAAACCAGCCATGCAAATAGCCAAGAACATTCTGCATGCTGACACAACCAGGCAGATAGGAACCCGTTTACCTGTTTCTGTGATAATGATTGATTCTGGTTTGTTTGTTCTTTAAGAGCGTCTCACTCTGTCCCCAAGGCTCAAGTACAGTGATGCTATCATAGCTCACTGCAATCTCAAACTTCTGGGTTCATGTGATCCTCCTGCCTCGGCTTCCCAGAGTGCTGGGATTATAGACATGAGCCACCACACCCAGCCAATGATTCCATTATTAAAGAACCTGCTTTTAAATCAGTCTGATGCAAATCATAGGAGCGACCTATGGCAGTGCTGCCCAGCTCTGGGACCTAGGACCAACAAACTTAGGAAAAACTTTTCAGACAGTGGAGTCTCTGAGGAGGTAGCAGACAGAATGGTCATCATGCTTCACATAGCCATGCAAGGATGCCATGGCTGATGTGGGAAAAAGCCAGCTTGTGCCTGTCACAAAGGATTGACAGGATTGTAGCAAGAGGGGAGAGGAAGATAATGGAAAGATAGTAGAAAAGTTTCCCCAAAATGTCAGTAATCAAATTGAGGGAAGCAAAAAAATAAAAATCAGTCCCTTAAACTCAGAGACAGAGAGACAACCTAAGATGGGAGCATTGAGATAGGGGTTCAAGTCTGGTTTTTCTGTTCAGTTTGTATATTTAAATATTTTTAAGTAAAAGGGATATGATGAGAAACATTACTCTGTAGACCATTTGCTTCTGTAAACCACAAAATTGCTTCTGAGTAATTAACCTTCCAGAGCATAGGTCTGGCTGTGACGTAGCAGGGAGAGCCTCCACCAAGTCCCTTCCCTGTGCAACCTCAGACTCTCTATTCCCTCTCCACTTCGGTGTCTTCGTCTGCAAAACCGAAGGGTGGACTAGATCAGCAGCTCTTGACCAAGGGTCTGTGACTTCAGGAAGTCAGTTAGGGCCCTGAAATTACATCCAGGATCGTGTGTGCATGCAGAGATTTGCATTTTTTCCTGAAAAGAGGAATTCATGGCTGTCACCAGTTTTTCAAAGGGGACCTGACTCTAAATGATTACTCAGCTCCCACACTACCTTCCCATTCTGTTCCTTAGAGTGATGTGGCCAGGACCAGGCCAGCAGCTGAGGAGGGAAGGTAGGGGTGGGAGGAGTTGGGGGGTGCTTGCTTAGTAGGGAAAGGCCCTCTCTGTGGGGCCCTGCAGGGCTTCCCCCCAGCTGTCAGGCAACCCTTTAACCTCCCAGCCCATCCTGAATGTGAGCCTTGACTCGAGCGGGAGGGGTGTGGACCGTGGGCACCCTCACAGTTACAATTTGGGCTCATAGTGCTGTAGATCCTTCTATGCATTTAGAGTATTTCCAGAAGCTTTCCATGTCTAAGCTCTATTTAATGGAATCTATGCATAGTAAGTAATCAGGTCAGAAGAAGCAGCATCCCGGTTTGAGATCAATCGCTGGCTAATACTTTATCTAGGCCACTTTATTATCTCATGCTGATCCGATTCCCATTCTCCTCCTCCTTTGTAGCATGCACTTCGGCTGTGGTAAAAGTACGTATCACATACATATTAAAAACATATACCCATTCTATCTGTATGTAAATGCGTGAGGCACAGCTGGATATTGCAGAGGAGTTTGATTTACTAATAGTTATTATCTGTTCTAGCTGTTCAGTGGCAGAAAGAATTTCAGAGAAACAAGCTGGCGCAGAAATTGTCTTTATGCTATTACTATACTGCTTTAGTAATTGTTTAAAAACATGGGTTTTCTCCTTAGATTCTAATAATGCCTGTTATTTTGTGCATTTCCTTGTACATTCCAGAGCAGGGCGTCCTCATTTAGCATTTCCTTGAATTTGGTTTTCAATCCATGCATCCAAAAAGAAACACAGTGTGCAGTTTGCAATTGAAATTTGACATTTTGCTTAGAAAACAAGTAAATAGTGGTTCTGGAAATACAAGAAGCAGGTGTGGGTCGTATGGTGTCAGTTATAATCAGAATAATACTCTTGGATTTTTTTTTCCTCATGAAATCCCAGCAGCTGCAAACTTGAAGGCATCTCATTTCTCAGTGAAGGCTTTATGTATAAGAGGTGGTAATGTTTGGGGGCTAATAAACACCAAACTGCTCTAGAAAAATCTGTTTAAACATTTAATTACTTGCTAAGAGATGTTAACTTGTTTAACTCCTCTAAATTACGTTGTCACTGGTAGCTTTTCTGCTTTTCAAAACCAGATTGTAATTACATTTTCAGATTGTTTGGTTGGTAGTTCTCTCAGTTAATCAAGGTGTATGATAAACTGGGTATCTGCATGGTCCCTTTAAATATTAAAATGCCACCATGTTAGATTTTTGTCTCTTTAGCACTCAAATTCCAGTGTGACTTTGGAGTTTACACCAAATGGCTTTGTTTGCCATTATTAGACCCAAACCTTCTGATCACTGTGAAAGATAAAATATACTGGACAACTAAGAAGATGATTTTATTCAGGTTATTGCAATAGGAAGAATGTTTATTAATGAGAAACAGCTCAAAGAAAAGGGAAGGGGCCAAGGTTTGGTGGAGGTAGGTGAACAAGGAGTCATCAGGGTGTCTTACAGAAAGAAGGGAAAGGATCTTACCTATGTAAGAGTGGGTGCTCCTTGCTGGTTAACAAAAGGGTGGGGGCACTTCTCACGCGCCTTTTGGGAGCACAGGGCTCAGATAAAGTTCAACATCATTCTAAAGGGGCCAGCGATGAGTTTCAGTTTATTTTGATTCAGAGCTTTTATGTGCCCTAAGCACAAATATGAAGGAAGGCACATTTCCGTAGCCCCCTTGGATTGTGCTCATGGATCACTGTGCTTGCAAATATGTAAACTTTTTAAAATACTAATAATGGTTGATAAGCAGTTGTGAACTTTAGCTATTGCCTTTGTTATATACAGCATGTTTTATTAATAAAATAAACCTTTAAGACCAGGCTCATGTGTCTGGCCTGCCATTCTTACAGACACCATTTTGCTCTTGCTTATTCATTTGGAGGCAGTTCATCAGCTATCTCACCCAGAACTTGCAGGAAGAAATCCTGACTGGGGTTATAACTTCAACTAAATACTTCCTCCTTCATGCACAAAAGTCATCACAGGAGCATGGGGGCCCCAGGTGGGGTCAGTTGACAGCCATGTAATTTTTTTTTCCAAGTCCTGAAGGCCATTAAAATCATCTGTTTGAGTCTGCTTATAAATAGGAATCCACTAGTAAAGAAGTTGATTTTAGCTTTTTAATTGCACATAATTACAACGGCAGAATCACTGGATGCTTGAGATCGCACTAAATCAGACAGCTTTAATTTGAATTTTTGATGACACATTAGCACTTCAGCAAGAACAGAGAGATTATAACCCCAGAAAACAGGCTTTGTTTTTCCATAGATGTGACTCCTTAATCTTTTCATGAGAATTTAGCAGATAAATACATATGTGTGTGTATACATATATCTTTATGTATGTGCATATAGCAATAGACATACAGATAGATAAAATCTGTCATTCCTTGATCACAGTGATCTGACAGTTTTAATTTCCCAGTAAAGAATAACTTTTTCCTCCATCACTCAAGTCAGATCTCTTAATATGGTGATGATTTGTCTGTTTAATATTGCAGTTGTTTGAACTCATGCCTGCAGTGCTGCTTTCGTGTTTTATCGGGCTGACTGTCATCTTCCCCGCATCTCATTTCAAGGCACATTGAGACTGTGTCGCATTCATTTATTGCAGGAAGAGTTTGGTAATGTTGGCTGCGGTAAAGTGGGTCAGTCAGGCTGCTCCTCAGTGTCGTGCCAGATTCACAGGGGCTGAGGTGGGTTTTTGGTGTGTAATGTTACACATCAGTTCCTCATCTGACCCTGCTCAGCTCATTGGAGGTTTCTGCTCTGTGGACAGGGTCCTCTGCCTAGAAGGCCCCCCTTCTGCTTGAAGACCTTCATCCTCCTCCCTGTGGCTTTTCCCCACTCTTCCCTTCACAGTTCCTGCTCCCTCCTCTGAAGCCTTCCAGAGTGTATTGTGTCTAACTTGGAATAGTACCTAATTATACTTTCATCTTAAAGCCACGAGTTGTTCCGTGTAGTACAGTGGTTCTTAACCCTGGCAGTTCATCAGAATTATCTGGAGGTTTAAAAAAAAAGATAGGAAAAAAATGCCTGGATCTCAACCAGATCAAAGAATCTCTGGCATTTGGGTTAGGGAGCAGGTACTGTTTTTTATTTTTTAAAGCTGTCTAGGTGATTACAAGGAGTAGCCGGAAGTTAAACTCATGATTTAATGCATTTTTTTCCAACTAGACTGTAAGTCCCTCGAAGAAGGATCATGATCTTATAATCCATTGCCTAGTTTGGTCCTATTTTGCTGTCATTCAGGCAAAACACTATTGGTTGTGTGTGCTCTCTGATCCAATTCAGTAAAACCATACTAGATACTGAACAGATAAAGACAAATAAGACATGTCTCTTATTCTCCAAAAACTCATAAAGTAAAGCTGAATCAACTGACCCAAGGAAAAGCAATCCCTGTACATTATGATATACAGTATAAATTAGGGTAAGATCATACTAGAATACATGTTCTGATAAAATCTTTTTGTTTGACCGCCTGCTAGGAGAGGTCATCTGGGTAAGATAATTTGGTGCTAAAATAATGAAATTTCTAGGATGTTGCAGTGTTTGCAGGGATAATCTTCAAAACATTGAACAACCAGTATAGCATGGACATAACCAATCAGAACAGGCACCAGGGTTCAGCCATCCCACCCTGGATGTGTGGGCAGAACCAGGAAGTGCAGAGCAGGGGTTCATCAGCAGCACCTGTGAGCTTTCACGTGCATTCTGACCACTTGTTAACCTCTAACAGTTGATTCCACTTCAAGAGGTCATTAAGAGAGCAAAGACCTAGAGGACACCTCCTGGCCAGCTCTATCTTTGCCTGGTTAGATTGATGGCATGGGACCCCCGGGTTTTTATCTATCAGCATATCAGATGCATGCCACCCACTTGTCAGCCCTTGGGAATAGTGGATTCGGTTGAAAAAGACCAGAGACATTCAGCCATTTGTGGGGGAAATGTAAAAGGATCCTAAAGCTAGTCCCTGGGATTTGGGAATTGCTGTTGAAGGTAGTAAAGTTGTTTTCCTGTGAGTACACACCAATAAATAGATGCAGTTTTTATCAATTATTAATGCGTCTATCCAGGAATTTCAAGGGCTGCAAAGAATATTAGAAGCCTCCTATTTACAATTGTAACCTGCTGGATTTGTTTTAATGGGTTGTTTGCTTTTTAATTTGTAGCAGTTTGAGAGAGATCTTCAGGGATCATGAGTCTTGTGGTTTCAGGTGCACAGTTATTTGGGGGACCAAATCTGCCTTCAGATAATTTGAGGTTCACTTGGCCATTTAGAGCCTGCAGAAAGGCATTGGAGACATTTGGGCCTTCTGTCCTCTATTTAATTTTCAAGATTAGAATTAAACATTAGGCCTTGGTCTACCGAGAGACATTTGCCAGAGCATGGACTAGTTTCTTTCCAGTATCCTGGTTTACCGTTTCTCTGTTCTCTTAATATAAATGGTCACTGATTCTGAAGTAGGAGAATAGGTACCGTTCGTTTATTTGTGCAAAGGTTCCCTTGACACAAATAAAAATGGAATTTTCAAATGTAACCCGATTAACTCTTAATTGTATACCAATAGCCTCTGTGTGTCGTAGCTCCCTCAGAAGGCTTCTGAATGGTCTGCATCTCTTTTTAAAGTTGGGGGGAGGGGGATTCAATTAATAGCAGGACTTTCTAATTGTGGGATTGGTGTGGCGTTGACAAAAATTTGTATAAATAGGGTACATTTTTCCACTTAAGAGGGCTGTGCTGAAACATTTTTAATTGGATTTTCATGGTGATTGACAGCATTTGATTATGACAGTAACTTTATTTGGCTGGACTGCTTTAGCCTCTTGTTCAGATTTTTCCATCAAAGCTCCTTTTTATCCTCTGAATCCCCAGTGGAGCAGCAGTCATTGTGGAAGAGCCTTTTAGCACCTTTGTTGTAGCCATCCCTGGTGATGATTGGGCCCAGCTGGTAGTAGATAAGAAAATGTTCCTTTCACAAAGAGGCTGTGTCTCCCGCCTCTGCGGTTTCAATAATTTTAAGAGCCCCCAAAACCTGTTGAGGATTAGAAGTAGCTTTAGATGTGAAATGAGTGTTAAGTATTAGTAATCGGGAGATTAGGGCCCCAGGGACAATGAGAGATAAACAACTGCAATTAAGGCAAATCTGCCGATGTAAACAAAATTTAGCAGAAACAGATGCCCTAACCATTTTGGGGGATTGATTTGAGGGCACCAAGGAATCGATTTTTGTCTTGTTTACACTTTCAAACCCCTGTGATATACTGGAAGGCTAAATATTTCATACAGCCTGATTTTAGTTAATTTTTTTTTCAGCGCCTCACAGTAGGCGCCTCTCTTCTCACAGTGACCAGGCCTGAGTTTATTCAGCATTCACAGGGAGCAGCTAATTGTCTATGAAGGGCCCCCGTGTTTAAATGGGCTTGACAGGAATTTAAATTTTGTTTCAATCAACCCCTGTGCTCACAGCCTGCTCCAGTTTCTAATTTTTAAATTAAACATGATTTTTTTTTTTTTAAGCCACAGCCTTGCCTCTGGAATACTCTGACTCTAGCTCTCAGGAAGGCAGATCAGCAACCCTGGAATGCTGGTTTAGGCAGGGCCAGTGGCACCAGCTCTGTGCTGGAAAGTTCTTTCTCCAAAGCAAGCGTTCCTCCCCTGTCAGGAAGGTCAGCAGAGTTTCGGGGGCACATACTCCTTCTTACCTTCTGAGGCGGCCCCCTTTCCAGCTCTCCTCTGCAGGCAGCGGTGCCGCGTCGTCCGGAAAGTGGGTTAAGTACCAAAGGAAGGCTCGAGGATGCCTGGTAGGGGCTGGCTGAATTATAACCCACTGCACGTCTGGTACAGATTTGTATTTCAGAAGCCTTTTCTCCTGTTGCGAGATAGGGAGAGAATATCATTTGGGCATCCAAAGGTGCATTTCAGTATGCGCTTGCCATTTCTATTTCCAGAGCATCTGCTCTGTGCAGAGCATCCTGCCTGATGCTGAGGAAGCAGCATGTCAGCCCTGAGGCCTGACCCCAGCCAGCTTACAGTCTAGCGAGGAAGATAAGGATAGAAATGTCCAAGCTCACCTACCCCTCCCACCTGTGCCTGCCCCTTCACCTCAGGCCACTCCTTCACACACCAGAATTCTGGCATTCTCCCACAGTTTCTCATGGCTCATGCTGTTTCCTCACCTCCACACAATGAACTCCTGCACAACCTCCAAGACCCAACTGGCACCGGCTCTGTGAAGCTTTCCTAAGCCTGCTTCAGTTGGGTGGAGGACTTCTCTTGCATGTCATCCTTCCTCCTTGCAAGTACCTCTCTTACTATGCTGCCCACACGTTCTGGCAGAAACTTGTTTAACCTAAGAGGTATAGTCCATAAGTGAGACCATGAATCCTAGAGTACAAGATCATATTTAGTTATCTTTGTATCCTTAGCATCTAGCCTGAGTAGAATGCTCAAATAAATGATCATTGAATTAAAGTGATGTGAATTTAAAGGTGAAATAAGTTCTGGGGAAGGAAAGATTTCTTCCAGCTAGGACTGTCTGGGGAGGATTTGGGAATGGGATGACAGGTAAGCTGGGCCTTGGGGGACATTTGGGTATTTATGTGAGTATATTATTTTTCTGCACAGAAAGGTCAAACAAAGCTTGCATCATTCGGAAAAAAACCAGACCCTCTAATAGCTATACTACCCAAAATTTGTACTATAATTTATTTTCTCTGAACTAACTTGAAAGACATTGGAGTAAAAATTTTATATAATTTGGGGCTGAAGATGAATTCAGAAAGGATTCTTTATTTCTTTAAGAAATAGGTCTCTTAAATAGAAATGATTCTTTATGGATAACATTTTAAATCCTTGAATTAGAGAGTTCTTTCATATAAGTTGTCTCATTTGACCTTCACATGAACACTGTAAGGATTATTCTTGTTCCCATTTTATTGATGCATAAACTGGGGCTCAGAGAGGTTTAACTTATTTGCCTAGAGTCACACAGCCAGGAAGAACAGAGGACTTTTCTACTGCACTACATCAAAGCTATATCCATTTGTACATAATAGGCAGAGGAATGTTACTGTGGTTTTGAGAATTTCAGCTGAGTCTAACTATTTCTTGCAGTCAGAAAAATAAAACTAAATACAAATATATACCCTGCAAAGAAACTTGTAGCATTCTGCAGTGTGCTTGTGAAGCCATTGCCCCTCTAGGATGCTCTGCTCAACTCCCTCCTTGTGGTCCCTTCCACCTTGGTGCCTCGTCCTGCATCCACAGGGCCACGGGTGAGGCAGAGCAGATGGCTGCACACACTCGCCAGCCCTCCCTAAGCGGCAGCAGCCTGGTGGAGGCTGAACCTCGGTACAAACAAAACACAATAGGAAGAGAGAAAGTAATTACCAGCACTTTGCACCTGGTCTGTTAGTCGTTTATCGGAGGGGAAGCTGTGAGAATGTGTAAGTTATCATTGTTTTTTGGTTTTGGCAACGTGCAGCAAAAACTGAGGGGAGAGTATGTCCTTCAGTTGTCTGGCCGCACACTTTTCCTCCTTTGCAGTTCTATCATCATGGTTATGGAAATGAGTGGCTTCCAAGAGATGTTGTTCCGTGGGTTTGGGAGAAATTTCTTTTGACTCAGCAAACTACTGAGCCCATTCCATGTGCAGAGGTGCTATAGTTTAGTGATTCTCAAAGTATGGGCTGTGGACCAGTGGTAGTATCTGAACTGTTTCTTTTTGGTTTGGTTTGGTTTGGTTTGGTTTGGTTTGGTTAGGTTTCGTTTGGTTTTGAGACAGAGTCTCGCTTTGTTGCCCAGGCTAGAGTGAGTGCCATGGCATCAGCCTAGCTCACAGCAACCTCAAACCTCTGAGCTCAAGCAATCCTTCTGCTTCAGCCTCCAGAGTAGCTGGGACTACAGGCATGTGCCACCATCCCCAGCTAATTTTTTCTATATATATTAGTTAGCCAATAAATTTCTTTCTATTCATAGTAGAAACGGGGCCTTGCTCTTGCTCAGGCTTGTTTCGAACTCCTGACCTTAAGCAATCCACCCGCCTCGGCCTCCCAGAGTGCTAGGATTACAGGCGTGAGCCTGGCCAGAACTGTTTCTTGAACACAGCAAGATAAGGAGTTTGTGCCCAAATATGAACCAAGCATGTCTCAAAGCATTCTGTTTAGTTCAGCTGACTTTTTGTAGCAAAACTTCCTCCGTGAAGGAAGCTATCTGTTGGTTTACATTGTTGCATGGCTACTTATCTTGTTGCAAACCAGTAGCCAGCAGTTTGCAGGCCAACTATTGAGTGGCACAGCTGTAAAGAGTGCAGAGATCAGACACTAATCCTGCCCTCCAGGAGCCGACAGTGTGGCGAGGAAGTATGGCTTTTATGTAACCATTGCATCCCCTGCAGCTCACATGGTACAAGGCACCAGGAAGCTGTACAGTAATCTCTGAACAGAGAGATTGAATAAATGAATAAATTTTTGACCATTTATTCAAAAAAACCTCAGTGAAATAGATGTCAGATTATGGTGAGTGCCATAAGAGACATGTGAACCAAGTAGTTGGGTCACATAGAATAGTAAGCCCAGTAGACATCATGGTCCACCAGAAAGGGAGACGGACCACAGGAAGGGGAAGACAGCCCGAAGATATCCACACCAACACAGGCACTCAAGGAGTGGGAGCAGGAGGAGCCCAGGCTTGGAGCTATGACCTACTCATTTCTGTAACCATCATGGTAGAATTGGAAAGGTGGCAAGGTTTGTGACCCAACAACTGACAGGACATACTCTGCCTTCTGTAAAAGGGAGGCTGAGGATGGGCTTTAGAAACTTGGAAATCAGTCTGTCGTGTGAACCTGAGCCAGGAAGCAACATGGGAAGACTGGAAGGGGATTGATTCAGGTATCAGAAAATATGGTTTCAAGTACAGGCACTACCTCTAGGGAACGAGGTAGCAACAGCTATTTACTTAGCTCATCTGAGCCCGAGCTGCTTCATCTGTGAAATGGGGTGATGATACCAATTTCACAAGAGGCTTTTTAGTAGTTTTTAAAACTTACACAAGATGGAGTTTATGAAAACGTGTTTGTAAACTCTAAAGTGCTAGACATATGTGGGGCACTAAATCATTCAGCTTTTTGAGGTCATGATTTTCTCATCTGTCTAATCTTCTGGGCTGTCTCCAGCCAGTCACTTCTTAGAAGACAGATGTGTCTAGTGGAACTTAATTTGACATGCAGAACAAAGCATACACGTGCTGAATGTTCGCAGTGAGTGCCCACTGAATTGGTAGTTTGTGTTCTCAGGGGTGGGTCTCTGTGGGTCATTCCTCCCACTCATTTGAAGCCTTAGCTTTTTGTGTCTGCCCTCTCTTATTGATAAAATATAATGAGCATGTCTTTGGAGGGAATTATTGCAAAGCAGTCAACAAGTATTTGTTGTCCGGGTCCTTGAGGTGCTGTGGTGGGTTCAGAAAGAATACACGAAACATCCATGTCCTCAGGAGCAGACTAGACACACCCATCGGCACCATGTGGAGAAGGCAGAAGGAGCTGTGTGCTGCTAGCTTGGGTGGTATGGGAGCTCAGGAAAGGGTGGCCAAGGGGCAGTGACAGTCAAGGAGACAGCTCAGTTCAGGCCTGAGTTCTCACTAGGCATGAAATTTAAGTGAGATGAAAGTATGTTACATGCTTAGCATAGTGTCTGGCATAAAATAAGTGCTCAATAAATAGTAACCATTATCACCTTTGTCATCATCGTCATTGCTATTAAGAGGGAAGGTGTTCCAAGAAGAGAAAATGGTATAGGCTGAGACTAGAGGGAACAGCAAACAGTGAGGAACCCAGCCTGGCCAGAGCAAAGAAGGCCCTTGGAAATGATGGGGGTAAAGTTAGTTGGGTAGGGCCAATGCAATCTGGAAGGGTTTCTCCACACCAAAGAGAAGTGAGGCAGCTGGAAGCTGTTGGTTCGTAAGCTGGGAGATGGCTGGGTGAGGCTACAGCATGACAGGCAGGTGAGCAAGCAAGGGGGACACACAGGGCTGATCTCTGCCTACTCCAGGTGGGCCAGGCCCTCTGCTGAGGCTGATTTGTGAATAGGAATGTCCTAACCCTCTGGCTCTTTCTGAAATTCCATGAAGGTCTCTAGCCAAACAGGAAGCTGAGTGCAGAGCCTCTGGCTTCTCAGCAGCCTGTCACTTGTCTCTCTCTCTGCATCTTCTTTTCAGTGTCCTTTCTGTCACTATCAGGGAAAATCATTAGTATGCTAATCTAGCTAGCCGTCATTTTAACACTGACCTTTGCTAACCTGCCTTTGCAATTTCAGGAACTATGTTTGACTTCTCTAAAAGTAACCTTAAATTGTAGTCTTGTAAGAATTCCAGAGCTGTATCCTTCACTCCTTCTTCTAATGAGGTTATGACCAAATGCTCATTATAATTGCTTTAGACTCCTTTTAATTTTCAAGCTTATTAATCATAAGAAGAGTTATTTAAAATTGCATAAATTAATCTTAGATTAAAAGCCCATCAAAGCCTCGAAACAATTAAGAATAAGTAGGATTTCCCTGGGGCAGCAAGTTTTATTTTAATATTGTAGTCAGGTGGATATCAGAACCTTGAAGTATGGTAGTGATTAATGTATGCAAAATTTAAATGGGATTTTTTAAATGGCAAATCTAAATCACATATTGACCTAACTGTAGGCTTTAACTGCATTGTCTGTCATATATTTAAACTGTTTACTAATCAACATTTTAATTACAGCGTGTGCTGGCAGACCCCAGGACAAATAAAATCTAGCTTTTTAAAATGTTGCTGTAGAATCTGTTATCCAAAAATAACAAGACTCTTTTATTGGAATGAGAAGGTAGAGAGTAAACTTTCTTGGCCCAGCATAGGCCTAGGTGTAGGGACTACTCTGGATACTTCTCAGGCCTTGCTCTCACCTTGAGAGTCTGCTGATCTGAGCCAGCTACCTTTCGTGGAACTACAATTGGGTTTCCTTTGGAGTTAATTCATGTTTAATTAGGGAAATAGTTCCCGTTTGGTGTTTGAGCCCATGTTGCCAAGCATTGTTTACTTAAAGAGTGTGTAGCCCTGGGGTCCCAAGGCCCTCTCCTCTTTTATGATACAGAGATAAGATGTTTCCAGAAATTTGATTTGGCCAAAGTCAGAAGCCTCTTGTCTTGCCTTCTACCGACACCCCCATCCCCATTGCTGCTGGAGTAGTTGGGTGGCCCACGGCTGTGTTCAGTTTGGGAAAAACTTCTCTATTTTATGGATACTCTTTCATTATTTACTGAAGGTTGATGGGTAAGAGGGTCCCCTTGAGCAAATTATTTCTCCCCTGGACACTTTAGTTCCCACCTCATGGAAAGGGGATAATAGTGACCAACATAATGATTCTGTTTTGTGATGAAATCCAAACTGGATGATGCACATAAGCCCTATAGCACAGTAGTTAGAAAATAATAGCTTCCCCCAAAATGTTTATTCCTGTCCTCATGACCATTTATTTTCTAAAACTAGTTTTTTAATTTTTTATTTTATTATTATTATTATTGTTTTAGACAGGATCTCATTCTGTTGCCCAGGCTAGAGTGCAGTGGTGTCATCATAGCTCTATGCAACTTCAAACTGCTGGGCTCAGGTGATCCTCCTGCCTCAGCCTCCTAAATAGCTGGGACTAAAGTGCACACCACTACTCCCAGCTAATTTTTTTATTTTTTTGTAGAGACAGGGTCTCGCTCTTGCTCAGGCTGGTCTTGAACTCCTGATCTCAAGTGCTACTCCCTCCTTGGCCTCCAGAGTGCTAGGATTACAGACATGAGCCATCACGCCGGGCCCTTCTAAAACTAGTTTTAAAATTATGATTAAAAATTCAAGTAGTACAGAAGGACATACAAAAAGAAGTTAGCTTTCTTCCAACCTCCCTCCCATGTCCCCCAGCTCCACTCTCTAGAGATAAGCACTATTAGTAGTAGCTTGTGTGTCCTTCTGAAATGTTTAATTATTTTATTCTGTACCTTTTTCACTTAATATATTTTTGAGATATTCACCTATCATGTAAAGGTCTACCTCATTCATTTTAATGGCTGCCTGGTATTCTATATTATGAATGCACCATCTTTATTTAGCAAGACTCTGCCATAGAACTTTTTTTTTTTTTTTTTTTGAGACAGAGTCTTGCTTTGTTGCTCAGGCTAGAGTGAGTTCCATGGCGTGACCCTAGCTCACAGCAACCTCAAACTCCTAGGCTCAAGCGATCCTTCTGCCTCAGCTTCCCAGGTAGCTGGGACTACAGGCATGCACCACCATGCCTGGCTAACTTTTTCTATATATTTTTAGTTGGCCAAATTAATTTCTTTCTATTTTTAGTAGAGACAGGGTCTCGCACTTGCTCAGGCCGGTTTCGAACTCCTGACCTTGAGCTCTCTACCCGCCTCAGCCTCCCAGAGTGCTAGGATTACAGGCATGAACCCCCCTCCTGGCCCAGAACATTTTGACCATTTCCAGATTTTTGCTATTGAAACTGTAACTATCTCTCTAAATATGCATCTTTGTATACTGGAGATGAGAATGCCAGTTCTTCATCTCTCTTCAATACTAAATTATCATATTTTAATCTTGCCAATCTAATCAATGGTAAGATGGTATCTAGTTGATGTTTTAATTTGCATTTCTTTTATTTAGTATGAGGAGGAATACTTTTTCCAAATGTTTATTGGCCTTATGCATTTTTTCACATCCTTTGCCTGTTTTTCAGTCGAATGTGTTTTTTCTTCCTTCAGC